CGAGTCGGACCCAACTCATAGCGACTCCTCCTTGGGTTTCCGAGGCAATATCACTACGGAAGTAGATTGCCCCATCTTCCTTCCGAGGAGTGGCTTGTGGGTTTGAACCACCAGCCTTATGGTTAACAGTCAAGTGCCTTAGGCACCATGCTAAAAACACCATGGCTTGGGTTAGGCACACCTTAGTCTTCAAGGAGACATCTTTGTTCTTCAGCACTTGAAAGAGGTCCTCTGAAGGAAATTGGCCCAATGCAGTACATCATCTGATATCCTGACTGCTGCTTCCATTGGTGTTGACTGTGGAACCAAGTAATACGAAAAAACCCACAGTCCCCCTCTTCTCCCTTTCAGCTCTCAAACACTGGCAGCCAAACTTAACTCCTCCAGGACATCTGTCTGGAAAGACCTACAAATGTTGACTAATGGTTTAATTGGGGCGGGGGGGACAACAAAATGGCAGTTCACCGTGTAATCAACCTTCAGTGAAGCCCACAAGTCAAAAAGCCCCTCATCTCTCTATCAGTTTTTTTTTTCCTCATTCCTAAATAAAACTTATCACAAAACAATGCCCTGCCATCAAGTCAAATCCAACTCGTAGCAACCCCTCCTTGGGTTTCTGAGGCGGTATCACCACGGAAGTAGAATGCCCCATCTTCCTTCCGAGGAGTGGCTGGTTGGTTTGAACTGCCAGCCTTCTGGTTAGCAGTCAAGTGCCTTAGGCACTACACCACCAGAACTCCTAATAAAACTTATTAGCAGAGATCAATAGATATTTGAGAAAAGCCTCAACCATAAAATACAGAACCTCAATCATAAAACAAGTCACAGAAAAAGGAATTCAGAAGAAAGAGAGAAAAGGGAGCACAGAAAACAACTTCAAAAAAAAGTATTTACTGAGCACTTACTACGGGCCAGGTACTTCTGTAAGAATTTTACCTACCTGAGGTAGATAAAAGTATCCATATTTTAAGATGAGAAAACTGAGGTACAGAGAGATTAAGTAACTTGAGTAAGGCATAAACTATGATGTAGTAGTGCAGATGTTTAAACCTAGATAATCTGGCTTCAGAGTCTATGCTTTTTCAAGAGGCTAATGAAGAATATGCTTCACCAAAACAAAAATAATCAACAACAACTATATATATAAATAAAATTAGGAGCCCTGATGGCATAGGGCCTAAGGCATTTGACTGCTAACCAGAAGGCCAGAGATTCAAACCCACCAGCCACTCCTCGAAAGGAAGATTGGGCAATCTGCTTCCGCAGAGATACAGCCTTGGAAACGCAAGGAGGGGTCACTGCAAGTCAGACTTGACTCGACGGCATTGAGTTTGGTTTGGTTTATATATAAAATTATATTTTTCCCAGAGAACAGGAGATCAACACAGAAGAAAAGCAAACAGAAATCCCTGGATGCTGATGAACAGCAGTCAGAGAAAAACCTCTCTGCAGCTAGCTAAAAGAACCATTCCAAATAAAGCAGAAGGTATGGGGCTTTCAAAGTTGGTGTTTCCAGAGAAAAAAAATAAAGGAATTGATAAATTATCGGGTATGTCTGACCATTGTGAGTAATAGTTTTACCGTTCTGTCAGAGATTGGGATAGAAAAACTAACCAAATTAATTAAACAAAGGAATTGTCAGAAACCAGAGAAAAAAATCATATAGAAAGAATATATTCATAGTATATTGAGTCATTCATGACAACAGTATTTACATTCTAATTAAACATAAACACCAAAAATTAATTTAACCAAAAAAAGAGATAATCATTCGGAAGATAGGAAAAGAAGAGAGGGAGAAGCAATAAATTCCACAGATTTCAACTGATCTATTTAATACTTTAAAAAAGAAAATAGCAATATACACATCATGCTTAGAAATATAGACATAAAAAACGAGAAAAATAAAACAGCTAAGAGAACTGCAAAATTTTCTGTAGCTGTCAGGATTTAGGGTGGTGTAAGACCTCTGGTGGCGTGAGGTTCAAACCCACCAGCTGCTCTGCAGGAAGAAGATGAGGAAATCTACTTCTGTAAAGATTTATAGCTTTGGAAACTCACTATGAGTCACAATCCACTTGATGGCAGTAGGTCCGGTTTGGTTTGGTGGAAGAATGGAACAGTACACTGGTTTTTTGTTATAAGCCTCTCATATGCTGCTGGTGGGAGTATAAATTGGTACAACGATTTGAATACTATCAGGCAGTATCTACTATAAGCATAGGCCTACTCTATGAGCTAGCAATTTCACTCCCAAAAACATGTCTAAGAGAAATGAGGCAGATGGCACTAACTGATACATACAAGAATGCTCATAGCAGCTTTATTCATAAAAATCAAAAACTAGAAACAATTCAAATGTCTATTAACATGAATACCA